GCATTTCCTACACTTTATCAGTCCCGACTATCGCCGAATGAAGCTTATGACCTTCAAAAGACTGAGTGCCAACTCATTACAAGCACATTTGCAAGGTATGTATGAAAATGATTAAAACCACTCATTCTAATAAAAGACATCAAAAACAAATTAGCCATTTCTAATTCTAACATGTGTCCCCCCCCCTTTTCACAAAAATCATGTGTTTCCTTCCGCCTACCGTCCCACGGCTTCCTCTCCAGTGTGGTACTCAGCTTCTCGTGAACACAGGCATTTTATCTTCTAAACGTTATTCAGTTCATTTCAATGATTAATGCATAAACATGGAAATAATGATTCATGCTTCTCACGGGTTCTCTAAAAAATCTGGAAACCTTTTGGGTCATTATTAGCTTAAGTTTTACCAACCAAGTTATTAAAACACAAATGAAGTCATAAAAATGTTCATATAACCCTTGTTTGATGTTAAAACTCAACTTCCCCCCCTCTTTTTGACACATTCCCATGTGTCAATTCAACGGAGCTAGAAAATTAAAAGAAAAGGTTAGTAACCTCATATCTTAGATTTAATTAGGGGTCTAACATGGCATAAAATAATATTATAATCCGACACTAGCTAAACTGAAAAAAAAAAAATGAATAAGAAAACAGTTTTCATTAAATACCAATGCTAGAAGTTCTATAATCTTGTATTTGTGTATCTTTCCAATTATATCTCTTATTGTGACTGCATATAAAATGTCTAACAATGTGTAATTTTTATGCATTTGAAAATGAGTGTGATTGTGCTACAAAACTCACTTCAGTGTGCTGAGTTAATGACCTCACCATCCTCCACTCCAGAGGATGTTGAGGTCCTCTGATAATATATTAGATAATATAAAAGCATAAGAGAAATCTTGCATAATCTACCATATCAGCATGTTTAAACATCTCATGACGTGTAAGAAAGAGCAGAAATGTTAGTGTGAATTTTTATGTCATGAACGGGATACATGTGGTCACATGTGTAAGTGTGGCACAAAGAAATCAAGGCCTATAAAGAACCAGATTCTTACCCTTGCCCATACGAACACTGGGAGATGTGGGGAAAATGGTGACAATAGTAAAAACGATGATACCTCAGCTGAAACATTTATTTTCACTTGTATTACCATGTATAAAAGTAATTTACCATTAATTTGGGTTGCTGAGCTTATAACTATTTACGTTGCAGTCGAGTCTGTTCTGATATAAAATTAGAAGCGTTGCTATAGATCAGATATTCCCAAGATATATATTACATTTAAAGATTCAAACAATCCAAATAAATTATTTACAAATCTTAGATTTGTTTTTTGAATTACATTTAC